TTTTAAAAAGAAAAACTCAAATGCCACAAGGCCATATTTATTAACATGCCTTATACAAACACACACACACATACACATACACACACACACACAAATACACACAACACACACAAACAATGCAAAAGTACCTGCAAGCAAGCAGCGATGACCGTAATCAGTGAAACACAAACAAACAAATAAAACTACAACAACTTCAACAACAACAATAAAACAATCATCTATTTATATATCCATACCAATAGCAGGGAAAATATTTTTTTTTAAATGTGACAAAATTTGAAAAAAAAAATACAACAAATATGATGTAATATATTTAAAAAAAATTTGTCAAAAATTAGAATAAAATTTACATAGGCTGTAGTTTATTCTAAAAGAGGCCAATGTGTTTTATGTATTAATGAAGCACATACATATTGACACATACTTAACATACTGTTAAAAAATACCCAAATACCTAAATGTAAAATACACCATCATGTGTTGTACCTACCTAAGTACTTACCTGATGGTTTTGTGGTATCTTGATGGTGCCATATAAGGTACATCTATATAAGTAAAATTAATTCGAACTGTGAGATGATGTGACAGGTCTTTACTGAAATTAAAATTAAGAACCTAGTTAGGTAGGTAGGGCCTAACATATTGTTAAAAAGTTGACATGGGGTACTGAATTAGAAGGAAGAAATTATGCAAAACAAAGAGGAACAGAGAGAGAAAAAAGAGGGAAAGAGAGAAAGAGGAAGAAAGAGAGATAAAGAAATGAAGATAAAAAGAAAGAACGAAATGTCAATACAAACTCTTCTGTACAGATATACTTATATTGCATACTACACCCCAGTATATGGATACTCCCTCTTTCCCTCTCTTTCTCCTCCCTCTTTCTCTCTCCTCTCTCTCTCTCTCCCTCTCTCTCCTGCTACAGATGAATAAACAGTGTAAAGGGTATATATAGCAAATTCATACACGTTGGGCACATATAAATACCGGTTATACCTTATACCGGACTGTGTACTGATACTAATTAATACAATAATAAGTTTTTGTATAATAATTATTATGTACATGGAGTGTGTATGTGGGTGTGTAAGTACGCAAATACACTCTGTGTGTGAGTGTGTGTGTATGTGTGTGTGTTGATACATATTACACATACCTTACAAGATATAAAACACATAATTGTATGTATATGTAGTATGTTTCTGTCGTGTATTATACACATGTGTGTGAGCGTGTTTGTTTGTGTGTGTATGTGTGAATATATGTGAATGGCTGTTTGAAGTGTTCAAGGAATAAGGCTAAAAACAACAACAGCCACTGCTAGATTGTGAATGATAACGATCATAATAATAATAATAACAATAGTAATAATAACAATAACAATGAAATTAAAAATAAAACAATAACAGCAATAATAATAACAAAAACAATAAATTCTATTTTCCGAAAAACGTAAAAAATTATATAATAGTCATAAATAGCAATGAATTAATATGTAGTAATAGCTTACCGAAACAACAACAACTACTACTACTACTACTAAGACAGAAAGAACAACAATAAGAAAATGAATAGCAACACACACAAAACCACACGTGCACACACACACACACACACACACACAAGTGCTTAGCAGCAAAAATCTATTTCAATAACGCAGTAGTAGATTCGCACATTACCCTGGATTGCATGCATACATATGAGCTTTATATACATATATGTATGTATGTATGAATGTATGCATGTGTGTTTGAATGAAAGTAAATATGTATGATATATATATATATATATATATAGTATACGTATGCATATTATACATATTATGGTTATATTACAAATAGACACCCATATGGAGTGAAAGAAAGGAAAAAGAGAAAGACATGATGGAGAGAAAAGAAGGATCAAGAGAGAGGAAGTAAAAGAGGGAGAAACAGATTGATAAAAAGAGAGAGAGAGAGAGGGGAGGAGAAAGAAAGAGAACCTAACAATTATGTTTACTCAATTAGTGAATGAGTTATTATTTTGTGTGGTGTTTTAATAAATTGTTGGTATTGGCTGACTGTTCCACACCAGGATGAATGTGTGTGTGCGTGTGTGTGTATGTGCGTGTGTGTGGTGTGTGTACTTACTTACATTAGCATGTACCATCACAGCTTATGGGGTATGCTAAAATTATACACATAGGATAAAAAAAATTTTTATGAACAACATTTAATGTTACTATTTTATATTAGAATATAAATTACACAAAATGGTCACCTCATGTATGCAAGGTATTTGTATTAGGGTACATATGATATTTAAAGCGTATCTGTATATGTATGCAAAGAACAACTTAATGTTTGTATGCATTGTATTGTGTGACATACAAATTCCTGATGCTTATATTGTATTACATTGCATATACAAGGTTTTAGGTATTTGTATTGTATATATACAAAAAGGATGTTTGTATATGACATTTGTATTGTATACATTCAAACTCAACGCTTGTATGTATACTATAATTGTATTGTATACAGTAGCAACTGAGATGTTTAGTAAGAGGGATGTTTGTATGCTTTGGTTGGTATGAAAATTGAACAGGAGATAATATATGCATCTTTGCAAAAGTCAGCTATTAGTTGTTGGTTGTGTATTTGTATGTGTGTGTGTTTGTGTGTGAGAGGTGTGTACATTTATTTAGGTATTCATTATGTATCTTTATAATTTTATATTTTCATATATATTTGTATACAATTTATGTATCAAAAATATATATACATATATACATATATATATATATATATATATATATATATATATATATATATTGCTGTTTTAATGCTGTTAGGCATTATTGACATACAAACATATTAATATATATATATATATAATTTGAAATATATATAACAAACATCACACACATATATATATGAATGAAAAAAATGTATATATATATATATATATATATATAAAATATATTATTTATATTATATATATCAATTTTACACACATATATCACACACACATATATTATATATACATATATATGATTAATTAAAAAATGATTGAACTTTGACAATTAAAAAAAATGATCAAAACTCAATCAAAATCAATTAAGTTAATTTTAAAGTAAAATTTAATTAAATCATAAATCTCCTCTTAAAATAGCAAAACAACACTAACTAACCCATCTTTAAAGAAGCAAATGGCAACGAATTTATTAGAAAAATAAAGCGACATTAAATGAAAAAAATTAATTAAAATAAAAGAATAACCATGCTACTCTATAGTATATTACATGTATACATGCAACCACATCAGCCACTAACATCATTGACGAGATTCATTTAGGGAAGTTAGCAACGATTTTCGTCAGCAACCGAAACTAACTCAATCGACAATCGATACAATTATAAAATGATTATATCAACATATTATATATATAATATATATATATATTTATTATAATTGTATATTACAAAATATTATACATTATAGATGTAATATAATATACACGTTATTATAATGTAGACATTTGGTTGAAGATTACTTAAGTTAAGATGAATGACACCAATCACATGAATTACATAGCGAGATAAACTGATAAACCTAAAAAGTAGATTATTTATTTCACAAATAAATCATTTTACCAAATTTATTAAATATTAGTTAAATAGATAAATATGGAAATGATGAAATTAAACAAGGCATGAAGTTAATTTTAAATTAATTAAACTAATTAATTAACGATATTAGTGAAAAACTCACATGGCAACGACGTGAAGATGAAAAATTCCTTCCCTTTCATTCAAATTCAAACAATGAAACGCACGACGGCATTTTACATTACTCATAACTACCAAATTAATAATTTTATTATTTACAATTAAATTAAATATAATTAAAGTTATAAAACAATAATTACAAGTAAATTATAAGAGGCGTTATAATACGTATATATAAATAATAAGTAAATAATAAGTTACAAATGAAATTTTATAAGGCCTCCCATAACCTGCAGTAGAAAATATTTCAACTATTCTATTCAGCAAACATACTATCATTAGAAAAATGGTACCTAGTAAAGTCTAAATGGGCGCGGTTAAATATGATAATGAGCTGCGTGATTGACAGTTGGTGTGTGCTATTTATAGACTATAAACAGCGCGCCATTGGCTGATTGGTTTTCTTTCATAATTTTCTCATGCGACGATTGATCAGTGAAAATATCTCAGCCTCATTTGCATACGCTGACGCTTATTAAAGATGCATGTGTTAGCTATCCTGCCGTCGAAAATTTACTACTATAAATTTGTTTAGTTTTCATCAAATTTTTAATAAAATATTGATTTTGATTGATACAAATTTTATTATCTTTTGTTTGTATTCTAAAAAATATGTTTTTATATCGAAAAAATCTTTTTCAGATTAGAGGGATCAATTGATTTTGGAGCGATGAACACCAGCACTAAGCTACAGCTTAAGCGCAGGCTATGCGAGCTTCTGAGCATCAATATTTATGAATTCAATGACATCTTATTAATGATCTTTCATAGAAATTTTCTCACAATGAATTTATTCTCAAATGTAAAAAGTTCAGATTTTGTTTTCGTTATGCATCCTAGATGTTAAAAGTCAATGAATAGAATGTTCAGTTGTGTAAACTTTGTTCAAAAATGTTAACGTTTCACACTGGTTTTTCAATATTTTTTATTAAATTACGTGAATGTGGATGTATAATATAGTTAGCAAAAATTTGATACACCATCATCGTATGAAATTAAATTGTACATAATGAAACGAAAAGTAAGCAACTCAAACGAGCGGAGTTTGGGACATCAAGCAAATAAAATCAAAGACGATCATTCAAAAATTACTAAATGAGACCAGACAATTGAAAATCGTTTTTATATAAAAAAAATTACATACAAAATTATTTTTTCAATACAAAAATAAAAAAATTGCTATCTTTATATTCGCTCGAGGCAAGTCGTCTTCCGTCAAATCAGTTTGCCAAATCAGGCAAAATTTAGAGAGTGTTGCGATTGGTCGAGAGCCAGAAGAGACCTTGATGAATAATAACTCTTATATGGCGTGTTCTGTCCACTTAGTGCCGCTTGTCTGATGTTGGCCAACTTGTTGTAGTGCTTGACTCTTCGTTCTTTACCAAATAGGTAATCTTTTAATTCTTGCCAGTAAGAAATGACGCACAATATGGCGGCAATCTTAAATTTTGAAATGTTTTCGGTTGAAAACGAAGATTGAAATAAAATCAATCTCTAATAAGTTATCATAAAAAATAGTTCAAACTAACTAAGATGATGCTGTCGATAAGCCAATAAACTGACACGACAATTGATTCAGGTACAGTGTATAAAACATCCTTTTCAATAAAAAAATTCCATTTAACAATAATTTTAATGACGTTATGTAATTTACGCTGAATCGTTTGATCATTTAAATCAAAGATAAATTAATTGTTTTATATTTTCTAACCCTAAATCTGTGTCCGCCAATCCAGGCGAGCGTGTAGACGCCGAGGAAGAAGTCGTACATTCGGTCAACGCACATGAAGCCAATCCAGGCAAATATCATCTTCCTACCCTCATAGGCCTTGTAAAATTGAAAAAAAAAATTTTTGGCATATAAATGTTTTGTATGTATTATCTACCGTTGTTTAAGCAGATATCCTTAGAATGATCATGCACTGAAATTTGTTTTGTGCATTTGCAAATGAACAAATAAGCTGCTAACATAATTGATTCCAATGAGCAAAACCAAGGAAACGGGAATCATGGCGATGCTGGAAACGAGTTCTATGCTCACCAATGCCACTATACCTGTTTGGTGTTGTTTAAATTTATACATGAAGTCATTGATGACGTCATCACATCTATTTACTAAATTAATTTTCATTATATTTAATGCACTGTCTAGTCAGCTCATATATTTTATACAGCAGTTTAAGATAAATGTTAGGCTTACATAAAAATTCATTTTTATTGCATTTCTCAAAGATATATCAAAGAGGCACGCAAACACACACACACAATGCACATGTAAATCCACACATCATACACTTATATATAATAGGTGGAGATTTCTTTGAAATCGAACCCGGTTACTGCAACACGAAATCAGATTAATTTTACTTCAACTGTTACTTCACCTGGCTACCATTAATAAATTTTTCTAACCGGGTGGTAGATAGAGATATTTTTCTTGGGGTTCTTTCTCAGTGATGAACCAATACATTTTTTTTAGCGCTACAATATCAATGATGATGTTTATAATGGCGGACACCTATGGTATGGAATAATTAAAAAATATCTAAACATTCATTCAAATATTTCAAAGTAAATGGATTAAATTATTTTTATTTTTTTTTAAATTTAAATTAGAGTACATACAAATTTAATATTACTAACCAACGTGAATACGGCACTGGCTCTACTTCCATTTTTTAAACTACCGAAACAGCAACAGCCCGTCAAAATCGGCATTTTGATTAGATTTTCGTGTCAAATTTAATTTAATAGTAAATTAATTATTTAAAAATTCCTTTTTAGTTACAAATAAAACATTTATTTCGTTTGATTGTGAACCACTAAATTAAAAAAAACATGTAAACACTACAGGTGATAAACAACCTAGCGTCAACTTATTTAATTTTATCAATCACAATCACAAAATTTTTACGTTTAATATTATATTAAAAAATATTTTTAATTAAAAAAATTTAATTTAAATTTGTTTTAAATTGTTAAAATTTACTTTAAAGCAGATTTTCAAATTTTTAAAAAATCTATTATTTAATTTACTTTTAGTCAATACGTGTGTTTATTGAAAAAACTAAAAGTGAACATTAACAAAACAAAAGCGTATGTTTTTTAATTTTTAGAGTTTTAATTGCTAAATAAAAAAAAAAGAAAGAAATTAGGATTTTATTTTTGTTTTACGATGTCGTCTTTGGTGATTACTGTAATGGGTTTGTATTTTTTCAAATTTTCATTTTGATCATGAATTTAAAAATGAATTGATCATACTATTTGATTTTGAATGGGTTCACTGTTTGGATTCGTTTATTATTCTGGGTCCTAACTTGGAAATGGTGGGGCCACTAATAGCGAAAAATGATGTCTTGTGAGTCTAAGAGAGAATAGGATTTTAAAATTTGTCGCTCTTTATAGCTGATATGTGAATTTTTGACTTCTTTCCTCTTTCTTTTTCTCCTGTTAATTAAGTGTTAACTCAGCTGCCCAAAAAATATTTAATAATTAAATTTATTCACCACTATAACAATTGAATTATATATATATATATATATATATTTATATATGTAAATATATATATATATATTATAGAGTGATTTTTTAAAAAATTTATGTTATTTATGATGAAAAAAGTAATTTCATTCTTAAGTATATTCTTTGGTTTGTTAATTTTGGTTTTAATCACATTTAGGGTCTGCTATATTAGCATTATTGGTAGCAGGTTACATAGGTCAGAAGTACTTGCCTGCCCCCAAGCCCAAGATTGTAGGAATCGATTTAGGTTTGAAATTTTCATTTATATAATGTTGATAATGAATTTTTAATGATTTTACATATGGTTTTCTGTTGATATTTCTATTAATTTTTTCAACAATTATATTTTAATACATTTACTTATAATATTTTCATATTTAAATTAATTATAAACACTTCTTTGAGTAATTTTTTCACTAAAGAAATTAAACCTCGCATGTTTTTTTTTGATATCGTCAGGAACGACATACTCCTGCATAGGAGCCTACCATGCAGTTTCCGGAAAAGTTGACATCATTCCAGACGGGGACGGTCATCTGTGTATACCCAGTGTTGTTGCCTACAGGTCATAGGCTAATTAGTTAATTAATAAACTAATTAATTTAGATGCCTGATAAGTACATGGCTAGTAAAGACTTTAATTATAACATGGAAACTATTGTTTGACTTTATATATATATTCTGACATTTTTAGACATTTTTAGACATGAGTGTATTGACTTCTTAGTTTGAGCCCATTCTAAGCTATTATTATTATTATTAATTTATTAATTAATTAATTAATATGCTAATTTATTTATTTATTCTTAAATTAGATAATTATTATGTTAATTAGAATTATTAACACGCAAATTAGTATGTTAATTAGAGGTTGCTAATGTTGAATAATTCAAATAGGGACACAGGTGATGTGCTAGTCGGCTACGACGCCGTCAACCAGGCAGACCACAACCCATCCAACACGTTCTACGATGCCAAGAGGTTCATCGGGAAGAAGTTTTCGTTAGAGGAATTTCAGAGAGAAGCTTCCAGATATCCATTCCATGTTCGTTGTTTTTGGTTCTTTGTTTTTGGTTCTTTGTTTTTTTTCTATTTTGTTTCTAATTATTATTGGTCTATGTTTTGTTCTATTTTTTGTATGTTTTAGTTTGTTTTATTCATTTTTTGTCTTGTTTTTCTTGTTTGTTTCGTATTTCGTCTTTTATGATTTACAAAAATTTATTTTCGTTTTCACACCCACACACACACACTCACACACGCGCGCACATATGAAAGAAAATTTCCAAACAAAATCCACAACAAACACAGATCCATCGAGATGGCGTTGATGGTTCGGTAAAATTTTACACGACCCACCACCCGGATCTCCACATATCCCCTGAAACCATCGGCTCAGAAATTCTTCTCACCCTAAAAAAATCGGCCGAGGCCCATTTTAAATTCCCCATCTCGAAAGCTGTCATTTCAGTTCCAGCCGAATTTGATGAAGAGCAGAGGAATTGTACTAAAAATGCTGCCCTCTTCGCTGGTTGGTTGGTTGGATGATTGGTTTGTTTGTTTGTTGGTTGGTTGGTTGGTTGGTTGGTTAGTTAGTTGGTTGGTTGGTTATTTAATCAGCTAATCGGGGATTTTCAAAGAAATCAAAATGATTATAATTTTGGAAACGATCAGTTTCAATGCACTATAAAGTAACACATCCAAAAATGTATAGTAGTGATGTATCGTAATTAATTTAACTAATCCAAAAATCTAATTTACACACGCATGCATCATTCATTATGTACATGCACAAATTCGAAATTAAGGCATAGAAGTGATTCGAGTCATCAATGAACCGACTGCAGCCGCCCTAGCATATGGACTCCACCAAAAAGGGGGGGCACAGGATGTCCTGGTCGTGGACCTGGGGGGCGGTACCCTCGATGTCTCCCTGCTGGATATCCAGGGCGGAATGTTTCTGACCAGAGCCATGGCAGGTTGGCTGGTTTTGTTTTGGTGGTTCGTTATTTTGTTTGATCGTTCGTTCTTGAAACTTTTTTTGGTCAATGATGTAATAATATACGTATTAAGCGTGTTTTTTAAAGTTATTTCGTTCATTCATTGAAGAGCATTGTTAGTTAAAAACCCTTTGAGAGAAAAATTTCAATCGAACAGGTACTTGAAAACATTCGAAACATTTCATTGGCGCCATCACACTTATAACGAACAAACAAACGAACGAACAAACAAACGAACGAACAAACAAACAAACAACCAATATACAATCAACATTTATAAAAACGAACAAAAAAACCAACGACCTCGCAGGCAACAACCACCTCGGCGGCCAGGACTTCAACGAGCGCTTGAAGTCTCACATCACTGCTGAAGTTGAGAAGAAGTTTAGGAGGAAGCTGGAGGACCCGGAAGATGTCCAGGCGCTTAGGGCTGCCGTCGAAAACCTCAAGATCAACCTCACCCTGTACAATTCAGCTCGGCTGCAACTCGATCTTGTATCTTTAAAAGATGAGGATGATAATAATAATAATAATAAACGACATACAAATAATAATAATAACAAAAATAATAACGCGTACAACTTCGAATTAGAAGTGACTCGAGACTTATTTGAAAAAATAAACAGAGATCTTTTCGAAAGAGTGATCGAACCCATAAAGTTAGTGCTAGAAGCAGGCGAGCTATCGACAGAGGAGGTCGAGGAGATAGTCTTAGTCGGGGGGTCCACCAGAATCCCTAAAGTTAGGCAGTTAGTGAGCGAATATTTCAATAATAAACAATTAAACGTAGCTATCGATCCTGAGCTGGCTGTAGTCACTGGGGTGTCGATTCAAGCGGGAATTGTGGGCGGAGCTTGGCCGCTTTCTGTTAGCGCCGTCGAATCAAAAACTTCCGTTAAGAAACTCTATGTTAGATAGCGTTTCGCTATTGGCTGAAATTTATAATGGTGTTTGGGTATAAATTTTTGATTGGCTGACAATTTGGGGAGTTTCATTTGAATGGCTGGTTAAATTGATGGTTAGTTGTTTCATTGATTAGAGTGACGAAGTGACTGGTTGTTAAGATATTTAGGAAAATTTTTATTCATCATTGTTTTATCTTTTTGTATATACAAATAATATTTTCTTAATGTTGTTGTTGTAAAAGTTGTTGATGTAGTTGTCATTGTTGATAGGTGCTGTACTAATTATTTTAGCGTTGTTTCGGTTATTGTCTTGAGAAATGTTATTATAACTGAATTTTAATTCTCTCTCTCTCTCTCTTTCTCTCTCTCTCTCTTTTTCTCTCTCTAATGTTCTTTTAATATTTATTCAAACATAACTCGGTAATAAGATTGATTGAGTCTCCAACTTGAATAATAATAATAATCTTTTCAATTGTAGTACATTTTACCTTAGCTACAACGTGGTGGGCAAACTACGGCCAAAAATGGTCGTTAGCCAGACATTATGACCAAAAAAAGAGGAGCCACAAATCTTAAAAAAATTCTCCTCCCGGGTCGAAAAAATTTGCTATTTAAGTACATATGCGGCCCTTCAAAGGTAAAATAGTTCTCAATGCGGCCCTCACAGCAAAAAGTTTGCCCACCCCTGAGCTATAAGAATCATAGTAATTTATTAAAAATATGTTAAAAAATGTGAAATAAAAAACGAGGAAATAAAATGAAAACCAATACAAATAAAAAGTTGAAGAATAAGAATAATAATAATAAAGAAAAATAAGAATAAACTATAAATAATACTAACCACGGCGATGACACGATGGTTTGATGAATCTGGAGCGCATAATTGTTCTGAATAATTTTTCAATGAATCACACATACCTTCCTTTCGTCGTCTTCGTCGTCATTAACATCATCATCGCCACCATCATTTAACGTTATCTTCTTCATCGTTGTTGGTTTCTAAGTAAGCGTTTGTTTGTTGCTAATGTTTCGGGGTCGTGCGTGTATGATTTCCTCAAATATTTTGATGTGTGTGTGTATATAATTTGTTTGTGGATGTGTGTGTGTGTGGATGTGTGTATGTGTAAATGTGTGTGTCTGTTGTTAGATGTTAATAAATTCTTATTATCTTCAGATTTCATTCTCCAAGCTGAGGCATCAAAAAAAGTTTTAAACACGGAGTGCCGATGGGAGTGGTTGCCGACGTTCTTGTGGTGTGTGTGGCGTGTGTGTGTGTGTGGCGAACGTAGTTTAATGTAAGTTTTTCTGAACAGGCCGTAGTTATAATTTAGTAGTTATAATTTATTCTAATTATATGGGCCGTAGCTACTATAAATTTAATTCTTAAAATAAGTTTTTTGGGTGTAATCGCGAATCTGATTAAGTTATTTTATTCATCTACCTACACACGTGTTTAAAGTAACTAGAAGTATGTAATATACTGGATGATGAACACCATCAAACTTGGTAAGATCTGTTACAAATTAAAAAAAAATTTATGTCGTAACTATGTCAAGATATTCGTGAAGTAATACACATTCAAGCATTACACCAGAGTTTCTAAAATTTGTTAAAAGCTAGGTAGATTAGATGTGTGTGTGTTTATGTGTGTACATGTGTATATATGATCGTGTGTATATGTATATGTGTGTGTGGAGTGTACCTACCTGTTTATTTTTGTGTCGGAATTTTACAAATACATATTTGTTTCTTTGGCAAAGTTTTCTTGTGCTTTGAAGTCTCGCTCTCTCTCTCTCTTTCTCTCTCTCTCTCTCTCTCTCTCTCTCTCTCTCTCTCTCTCTCTCTCTCTCTCTTTCTTCCCCTTTCTAGATGGATGCATGTAGAGAAAAAGAGAGAGAGTGTATGTGTGTGTGTGTGTGTGTGTGTGTGTGTGTGTGTGTGTGTGTGTGTGTGTGTGTGTGTGTGTGTGCGTGTATGTGTAAACTTCACTCCCAACAACATGATGAGAGATGATGACTCCTACTTTACTACTGACTGACCTGGATAGCACGTAACGAAGATTTATACACTAGTAAGTGAACTGTGCGTAGATTTATGTATTTATGTATGTGTGCGTGCGTATTTATGTATGTATGTATGTATGTATGTGTATGTGTGTGTGTGTGTGTGTGTGTGTATGTGGTGTGTGTGAGTGTGTATGTATGAATGTATGTATATATGTGTGTGTATATATGTATGTATGTGTGTGTGTATGTGTGTGTATGTATGTGTTTATGTAATTACTTTTTTGATTTTATTGATTATAAGTATCTGTTTGGACCATCAAACAGCTTAACGGACATGGATGTGATTTGTACGTACGTGTGTATGTATGTGTGCATGACTGTATGTGTGCATGACTGTATGTGTGCATGACTGTATGTGTGCATGGATAGCAGCTGCAGCAGCAGCAGTAGTGGCAGCAGCCGCAAAAACAACGACGACGTTATTAGTAGTGATGTTGGTAGTTACGTGGAGAGATTACACAGCGTTATCAGTAGGCAGCCAATTATCTCGAAATCACTTTCATTTTTGTTGTAGACCGTCTTTCAATCTTTCTCTCCTTCGTTTTCTCATTCATCTCTTCATTCGTTCATTAATTCTTTCATTTATCCGTCTGTTCGTTCGTTCGTTCATTCGTTTGTTCATTCGTTTCGTTCGTTCATTTGTTCTGTCACACATTCATTAATTCATCATTAAATTCAGCAATAAAGTTATTCAGCTAACCAATCATTCATTTCAGTCACTCCATCATCAACGCAAGCTCGCATGAATCACGGATTTACATACATACATATATACACACATACAAAGGTTAACACAGACAAACACACACTCACACAAACAAACAACACACACACACACACACACACACACACACACACACACGAAAATATTTTCCCTGGCTTAAAGCATTCACAAATATATATGTAGTGTAGTTTATATCACATGATATATTTCCATACATAAAATTTGTTATATATCATAGGTACTGAATGAATATAAATATGTATATATATATGTATATATATATATGAATGTATATATGTATGTATATACACATTTTCTAGTTATATTTAAACAAATACAAACATACACACCCACAAAAACATAAACAAACATAGAAAATAAAACATAGACAAGAATCTTAAGTCGCACATTCAAACACGCAACTTAAACAGATATTTAAAAAAAAAACTTAAGAGGCTAGAAGTTGGCGTAGCAATTCAGTGTTCAGAACATGAGGATGTTGTGATGTGTGCGTGTGGAAGGTATGTGTGGATGTGTGGGAAAAATATATACATATAAATATATATATATATATATATATGTTGGTAATAGACCATAATTTTTTTTTATTGTAAAAATATATATATATATATACATATTACACTCATAATATATATATATATATATATACACACATACAAATACACACAACCACACGTACAATTACACACACACCACACGCACACACTTTTCTTACCACCATCTCATTAATTACACCTACTCATCACTATCAAATACTCTATTCTCTATACTTAGTTTCCTAATCAAAACGTTATATATATATATATATATATATATATATATATATGTGTGTGTGTGTGTGTGTGTGTGTGTGTGTGTGTGTGTGTGTGTGTGTGTGTGTGTGTGTGTGTGTGTGTGTGTGTGTGTGGTGTATGTTTGCATGCATGGATACATAGCATATATACTTATGCGTATACATATGAGTGTGTATACGTACATACATGTGCTAGAAATTGTATGGCGCACACGTTGTATATCTAAATAAATACTTACACACACACACACACAAACACTCACATATACATATACATGTGTATATATACAATACATAACCTATTGTATGCAGTAAAATAGCGAATCATTATAAAGGATTATATAGCGCTGAGTATTTTGATGATGCAAAAGATGCAAGTATATGACGTAGGGCGGTATGTGGATGATGAAAAGTCCTCTTCTTCTTCACAAAGAACGTTCGGACTTGTATTTGTGTGTGTGTGTGTATGTGTATATATATACACAATACCGTTTAATACAACACAAAACAATACAATATACTATATAACTATATAATATGTATGTATGTTTTATTTATATAAATATTTACTAATTTAGTTGTCTTTCATACAGATTTTATTATTAAAAGAGTTCAGCTACACTCGTATTACGCACGGACTCACGCACACACACACACACACACACACACACACACAGACACATACATAAATACATACACATACAAGTTATGAACTAGGTTTTATGGACTAAAATTAACGTTTGTTGCATTTGATTTATAAATTAGTTAGATTACATTTATATATTTGTATAATCTATTTATATAAATAAGAAAAACTTGAATAATTTTAAGAAAATTTTTTTATTAGAAAAAAAATTGGTTATTGAATTTTTATTTAACGAATTAAATTGAAGGAGCTCATCATGTGATTAGTATATTGAATTTTGATTGGCGCCTAAAAAAGGATACTTCATTCATTCATTCATTAGATATTAAAGGTATGTATGTATAATGTAGATGACTCATTCATTCATTCATTCGTTGATTGATTGATTGATTGATTGATTGATTCATTTATTCATTCATTTATTCATTTATTCATTTGTTCTTCGTCTGTTAATTAATTAATTAATTCATTCATTCATTCGTAACATACATTCATTCATACATTCATTCACTTGTATAAACATTATAGTTATAATAATTTTTGTTGGCTTGCTGCACAAGTTTTCGCGGGCTTTTAATGAGAGAAACTGTTTTTCAGCAACTGATAACAAAATGATAATGATGATAATAAAAATAATGATTTTGATAATGATGATCCCAAAAGTTGTAGTAGTAGTAGTATTAGCAGCAGCAGCAGCAGCAGCAGTAGTAGTAGTAGTAGTAGAAGTAGTAGTAGTAGTACTCTTGTTATTATTGATAAAATATAATATTATTACTGCATACTATAAAATACTGTGACTACTGTTACTAATACCAACACACACACACACAGACAGACACATACACACACACACACACACAAACTGACACACACACACACAAACACACACATACACACAAACTGACACACACACGTACACAAACACACACATACACACAAACTGACACACACACACAAACTGACACACACACACAGACAGACAGACGTGATGGAAAACATCACCATAGAAACAGTAATCATAGTCGGGTCCGTCTGCGCCTCCGTAGTATCCATACTGGCCATCATACTTATTGTTCTATGTTGCCAAAGGAAGAATACAAAAAGTTAGTCTACATACATACATACATACATACATACATACATGCATGCATGCATACATACATACATGCATGCATGCATACATACATACATACATACATGCATAGGTACATACGTGCGTACGTACATACATACCTACATAAATACATACAAATATATTTACTTACATACATTCATACATAAATACATACAAAAAACAAACATACATACATACATTTATATTTAATATATATATACACACAAACACACATACATACATACTCCTACATACATACATACATACATACATACAAAAATACATACATAAAACACACATACATACATACACCTACATGCATAAATACACACAAATACATACATACATATAAACACACCCATATATATAAACACATTCATGAAAACATACAAACAAACTTAATCACCGCTTCTGATAAATCTTTTCCTGACCTAACATTCTTATGCTAACACAAAAATTAACATAACGCATTGATACAAAAACTGCATAGAAAAAAAAAACAGCAACACCAATACAACCAACTACAACAAAGATCATGAATAACGGAGAAAACAAAAACAACAACAAAAACAACATACTACGTACAATTTTTCAAATGTTTTTTCATTAATATATAGCCTCTTCTAATCTCTCTTTATCATCGCCCAAAAACAGAGTTTTACGAAAAGGATACAGCTAAAAGGTTTGTACAATACCTTCTTATGTGTAGTGTAAATGTTTTGTAAATGTAGTGTAAAGGTATTTCTTTGCCTCGGATGCTCCCACTTGGGTACACATATTTTTGTGTTTTCATGTGTACATACACAGACACACACACACACACACACACACAAACACATTTCCACACACACATATACACACACATACACACACATGCACAAATATGTAGACATAAATATACACACACATACACACACATGCACAAATATGTAGACATAAATACACGTGACATAAAAAAAAATTCGAAATACCTACAATACTACACACGCATACATGTTTATATACATACAAACAAACAAACATACATACACACACATACTTACACACATATACACACACACATACATACTCGCGTATATTGAAAATATTGAAAGTTGAAAATTGAAAGTAACTGGGGAATAGGAAAGAAGAGGAAGAGAAAACTCAAATTTAATGGATTTTCTATTATTTGTTCATTTATTTGTTTGTTTGTTTATTTATTTTAACCATCTCGGTAACCATCATCACCATTATCATCATCATCAACATCATCATGAAAATGACGTCACGATGACCTCATCACAACAGCGATGACGTCGAACAAGTCCAAATGGAATTGCTCGGCGACAGCCGCGAACGCACACCTCCACAACATCATCAACAACAACAACAGCAGCTTCAGCAGCTTCAGCAACAACAACGAAAAAGCAACACGCTAGATGGCAGATTACCACCAATGGATCCGAGTTTAAAATGTTATAATTGTTGTTGTTATTATTATTATAGATGTTATTATTATAGTTAATATTATTGTCATTAATGCTCTAATGTTACTGCTGCTACTACTACTACTACTACTACTACTACTACTTCAACTACTACTACTACTACTACTACTACTACTACTACTACTACTACTACTACTACTACTGCCGCCACTACCACAACTACTACTACTACCACCACCACTACTACTACTACTACTACTACTACTACTACTATTACTAATACTACTAATAAAATTAATAATAATATTTCAGACGGTCACCCAATAACTCCAATCTCGAAAGACAGGCCGTGCCATTCATCCATACTGTCCGTTGATGATAGACAGAAGAAAATAATCTACGAAGTCATTGTATAGCGCTTGTTATTTTTCTTTTTTTTTACAGATTGTTTCTTTATTTAGTAATTTTTAAAATTATAATAATAACAACAACTACTACTACAACAACAATAATACTACCACTACTACTACTACTAATAATAATAATTACCTCTAGTCATGCTAAAATGCCGTTTATATATTTTATAGAAAAAAAATTTGGCCATAATTTTTACGATTGTATGAATTAAGAGATATATTGGTCGAGAAACTGAAGTCAATTTTATTATTGTTGATTAACTTTAGTGATAATAATTATAATAATAATAATAATAATGATAATAATAATAATAATATAATAATAATATTAACAATAGTTTTAATAATAATGATAAAATCTGTAATGATGTGTATGTATTATAATTATGGTATTATGACAAATAACAATTGTTATTAATTGTCTAAATATTATTAATCGAAATAAAAAATGTATAGAAAAATATTAAATATTGTTTACTAATATGCAGTAATATCAAAGCAAAAACTCGTTGCGTGTTTGTGTGCGTGCGTGCGTGTGCGTGCGTGTGTGTGCGTGTGTATGGGCAAAAACAAATTAATGTATAAAATCAAAAGGAAGACGATGTTATTAAATATCATCTGTGAAGGCACGTTCTATAACCTGAAATTGATGAGAAAAATATGGCATTAGTGAAAAAAATATTACAAAATAATTACAAAAAATGAACACATATATATTTCCAAAGTTCTAAATTACTAATTAAAAAATGGCCTCAAACAGTTCTGGTTTTCCACAAAAGGCTGATATGATTTTTCCAAAATTTGAAAAAGTCATTCATTTAAAAAGAATAAACCAAATAAACAACATTGTAAATAATGAATTCTCGGCTGTATGTTAACAAATTTAGGCTGAAGTTTTTCAAAACATGATGGTATTTTAATTTTTACGGGGAACTACAGTCCCAACAACACCATGGAGGGGTGTATGACATGACCCAAAGCCCCGTCATTGGCCTTCGCAGACTATATGTAGCCTGGTTTACAAAATAGCAATACATGTGTATAACCAGACAGAACCGATTTTGTAATTTGTGTGATGGCTTGCAATAACAATATTATAATAATATGAAATATTAATTTTAACGTAATAATTATTATATAATAGATATACAAATAATAATTGTAGCAATTTTAGAAGGGGCAACAGTCTCCACACCATGTTAAGGGGTAAGGGGTGATACATATTATACATTTCGTGGCTACCAATATGGCTTAGACCATTTGATACCAATAACGTTGATGGATTCACCATTTTTATTACACGCATGTATATAATTCCAAATCAACTAAAAATATACCCAAGAAAGGTTTTTACCCCCACAATTTGGGGTGGGGATTGACGCCCTGGATTATCAGTAACAGTATCACTTGAGGTAAAAACAAAAATATATTAAATATAGTAATAATAATGTTAACAATAATAATTATAGTTTTAATAATGATAATATTATTATTATTTATGTTGTTTACTAACATTACTTAGTAAGTAGGCGATGAAATCAAAAGAATAATAATAAAAACATACCCTGTTAAAAAATAATCTTTGTCTGCAAAACGTTGAAAAACATTCGACAGAGTCTGCCCTGGCGAATGTTTTTATAATGAAAAACAAACAAAATGAACGAACTATGGTCAAATAAAAATGAAACATCATAGATGTATAGATCTGAAATAAATAATTAATCCAATGTATAACTTATTTAAAAATTTACATTAAAATAATAATATTATAATTTATATTATTTATTTATATTATATATTTATATTGCTATCTGAGAAATCGAAGTCGAGATTTTTTGAAGGCAAACAGGCAAAATCTGTGGTCGCAAATGGCAGTGGCGCGGTGGTAGGCGAGTTAGTTCTTACGCTCGCTGATGAAATGAAAGATGCGCCGCTGATCTCCTTCATTTCTAAAGTATTGCAAACTTTTTGATGGCTAGTTAGGACGTTCTGCAAGTTGTTCACGACCAGTTTTAAGACTTGAGTCTCTTGTTTCAGCTTCTTATTCTCTTTCAACGTGTCGGCGTAGCCCTGCAAAATTTGAAAGTATTATATTTGGATTTACAGGAAACAACACAAAAAATTTGAAAGTAAAATTTGAAAGTATTAAATTTGGATTAACAGGAAACAACACAAAAAATCTATTCAGCTATGATAAAAATTTGTCAAAGTAACTGCTAAAACTTAATTTAACTGTAGTAACTTTTAAAATAGAATCAACTTGAACTCTTTTCTTTTCCCTGCACTTCCTGGCGGCGATGCGGTTCTGCTCCCTGCGTCTGTTCTTCCTCAGGGAATCATGTAGAATCAATCGACGCTTGTGTCCCGGTTTATTCCCAGCCGTTTCTTTTACTCTAGTATCAGCGGTGGGATTGGGACTAAGGACCGAGTCCTTACAATCTTTTTTGCGGCATTTCTCATCCCCCTCTATCTGGGTGGCACTACTACTTTCCGGTTTAATTGGAACCAGAGGTAGAAACGTTTCCTCGTTATTTTTGATGTTTTTATAATCTTTTGAATCTAATGCCATTACGTCATCGACGGAAATAGGTACTAATTCCTGATTGGCTAGTGCTAACAAGTTGTACTCGAGATAGGCCGACGTGAAGTCTTCGGCACTGTTCGAAAAGTCGTCGTCGTGAAGAGGAAAGGATGAAAAAAAATCGAGGTTGTGGTAGCTGCTATTGTTACTGTCGCCGCTGCTTCTACTGCTTGAGTTATTAATGCTGGGACTAATGTTGGATGCAGCTGTGAGGGTTGTATTTGTTGGTCTCGTTGTTGTTGTTGTTGTTGAGGCCGATGTTTTGGTTAATGTCGTCGTTGTTTTTCCTGTTGTTGTTGTTGATGATGAAGATGAAGATTTGAATAAAAAAGTTGATAGAGCAGCAGAGTCTGGGTATGAAACATTTGATGAAACTGATTGTAACTTTGTTGAGGAATGAGACTGAAACGTTGAGGAAGACGATGAGGATGGCGACAGTGATGATGAAGAAGGTTTCAAAGGTGATGAAGACGATAGAGCTAGTGATGAGAAAGATGATGAAGACGACGATGAAGATGCTGTTGGTGGCGATGATAACAAAGTCAACGAAGAAGGGTTTGCCGTTGGTGATAATGATTGAAATGGTGATGTTGGCACATTAGAATCAGCGTCAATGTAAAGATTTTGGAGTTTGTTTTGTTTGAAGGATTGTCGTTGTTGTTGCTGCTGCTGTTGCTGCTGCTGTTGTAGCCGATGTTGAGTCTTCTGAAGTTCAGCTATCAGTTGATGTGGCGCCGTTGAATGCGGCGTGTGGCTGCGTTCAATTTTTGTCGCAAACGTCGTTGCGGTCGTCATCATTGTTAATGTCGTCGCCGTTTTTGAACGTTGTTGCGAAGTTGCAGCTGGCGTGAGAGACGTGAGAGACACCAAAGGCGACAGTGGTGGCAATGTTTGCGATGTTTGTTGAAATTGTTGTTGTTGCTGCAGTTGTTGTCGTTGTTGTGGTTGTTGAAGTTGTTGTTGCTGTCGTAGCAGTTGTTGTCGTTGTTGTGGTTGTTGAAGTTGTTGTTGCTGTCGTTGCAGTTGTTGTTGCGGTTGCAGATGTTTTTGTTGTCTGCATTGCGATTGCTTGCTGCAACTCGGGAAGGCAGCGTTGTAGTTGAGCTGGGAAAAAAGTTGTTGCAGAGGTTGTTGACGACAATTCATGTTTTCGTAACACTGTTGAGGATAATATAAGTTTGTTGTATCGGCAATATGTTGCTGCGGGATGTTAAAACTTTGGTGTTGTTGTTGTTGATGATATCGTGGTCGATGTTTACTTAGTTGATTTTGTTGTTGTTGATGTTGTGGCTGCAGTAGCTGCTGCTGTTGTTGGAAATAAAAGTTGAAAGGGTTTTGTTGAAAAGGAAGAAGCTGTTGCGATTGGTATTGTTGCTGAATGTTTGTTGGCTGCGGTTGTTGTTGAAAGGGAGGTGTCTGTGGTTGATGACGAAGTTGTTG